CTTAGTCTGCATAATGCTAGCAGTCCTCACAATATACATTGTCAGTGTTACCCAGTATGTTGAAAAAACTTGTTTACTTTCAGTTCTTAACCCTTTCAGGGTCCAAGGCCCAAATCTGGAGTCACGCACCAGTGTCCAAGAATTTAAAAAAAAAAAATTTGTTATTTTTTCTTATGAAATCGTAGAGAATCTTTTTGTGAAGGTAATAAAACAAAAAGTATGAAATTTGGTGGAAAATTGACGAAATTATGCTCTCGCGAATTTTGATGTGTCAGCGACATTTATGAATCGGCGATTTTGCTGACTTTGACTCCCATTTTAGGCCAATTACATTATTCCAATCAACCAAATTCTTAGCTATTTCACTAGTATTACTTCTATTCTATCGATTGAGCACAAGAAATCGCCAAGTCAACTGTTTCAACTACAAAATAAAGTGATCGGAAATTGTTAATTTGGCCAATTTAACACAAAGTTCAAAATATTCCAATTTCAAAATAGGGTCCAGAATAAACAATGTAGGCATTCCTGGCACTAAACTAACGTTTCCTCTGTTCATTAGTTATGTTTTGAGGCTTTACAAATAAATTCCATTTTGATTTTTTATTCACATAATGAATTTTTATTCACACCAAAAAATAGAAGATTTACTGTTATGCAATACTGTAATAATTGTATAAATATCATCACCATATTTGTGAATGTATATTAGACCCACATACAAATATCATCACCATATTTGTGAATGTATATTAGACCCACCAGCTGACGTGTATTAGACGTGTGAGGTCGTTTGTTTACTCTTGAATATCAGCAAAAATTTAACATTTCCGCTACTTTGAGCTCAGTTTCAAGCCATTTCCAGTGCTAAAACCAATCAAAATCATCTCTATTTCTGTAATATGTCTTCCATTCTATCAAATGAGACCAAGAAATCGCAAATACAACTATAAAAAAGATACGAAAAAACACTGCAAAGTTGCTGTTTTAATCGAAAAATCATGATTTAAGTTTTTTCTCTCATTATACACAGTGTGCTGCAGGATCTGTTTTATGTGGTGCACACATACCACATAGATGTATTCTCTTATATCTAGGCCCAAATGTACCACTCACAGTTTATCAGAGTGAGCTGAGCTCATGGCGTAGATCTACGGTTTGGACCCTGAACGTAAAGCCGTAGATCTACAGGACGGACCCTGAAAGGGTTAATACAGGTTGGCCATCACTGATCCGGTATCACTAATCTAGTTCCACCACTAATCTGGTACTAATTTTGGCTAGTGTGTCTATTGATAGGTTAATTCACTTGACAGGTGAATATCTACAAGTTCTATAACAATGCAATTTTATAAGTGAACAAGAAATAATGGACATTTATATGATGGATTAGTGATGGTCTACCTGTACCAAAAAAGTGCCTTCTGTAGCATCAAGGAGAGCGAGTATTTGGGTACATTTGAGGGAATAAACTACTGGAGGCAATACGGGAATATGTGAAGGTAACGAGGCAAGTCACATAGTTGTGTGTTTCACACATGACAAGCAGCAGGATATCTCGTGCACGATATCTCATTACATACATTCTGTGATCACTAGTGACCTCACAAGTTTGTGCATTTTGTGTTGATGCTCCCTCTTAATTTTGCCTTAATTCTGTTACTTGATTCATAAAAAAATTGCATTATTTTCAGATATGTTTATTTCTGTGTCTGTTATTTGATTTTCTATTTTTTCTATGTTATTTCCCATTTGGAGTTTTGCATTTATGTTGGAATTTTTTAAAAACCTTCCACTTTTTTAAGTCTTATTTTTCAGTTCTTACATTCAAAAGAACAAGAAATTTTTTTTAGTTCTTACATTCGAAAGAACAAGAAATTTTTTCAGTTCTTACATTCAGAAGGACAAAAAAAAAACTTTTCATTTCATACATTCAGAAGAACAAAGAAACTTTTTTCAGTTCTTACATTCAGAAGAACAAAGAAACTTTTTTCAGTTCTTACATTCAGAAGAACAAAGAAACTTTTTTCATTCATACATTCAGAAGAACAAAATTTTTTTCAGTTCTTACATTCAGAACAATCGGAAGAACAAAAAACTGTTTAATTCTTACATTCAAAACAAAAAACTTTATTTCTTACATTTGAATAGCAGGAACATTTCTTGAGCAGGTTTTGCTTTAATCTAGGATCACTGGAACTTTTCTTGGCCCCAAAAAACTCAGTTTGTATAAATTATTTAAATCCCTGTTGTTACTGCTTTGATTATTAGCTCACCCTTTCTCTGGACAAACTTTGGTTATTAGGTCACCTTATATCTCTCTGGATGCACATTGACAGCTGTGTCACTTACACTATGCTTTATATTCTATGCATATTCTGAAATATACCTTTATTATTTTCCATTCAACTTTATACTGCAAAAAATCTTTATAACATAAGAATTAGAATGTTTTATACATTAACATAAAAGAAAACTTAAGTAGTGCACTTCTACGTTTATGCACTGAATTTGGAAGTGTTTACTTAGAGCTTCACAATTTTCATAGGCCTTATTTTATAAGAATTATTTTTTCCATAGTACCAGGTAATACACAAATAACCCGCACATAGAAGAGAGGAGTTTACAACGACGTTTCGGTCCGACTTGGACCAAGTTGGACCGAAACATTGTCATAAGCTCCTCTCTTCTATGTGCGGGTTATTTGTGTATCGTTCCAGTCACGGTATTGTGCCTTTTTGTTATTTACCAGGTAATAACTACATACATTTTGAATTGTAGTCCACTGAAGCCTATGGGTAAATTTACAGGGCTTATGCGACAGCGCTCAAAAAAATGACAACTAACTACTCATCTGTCGGAGGCAGGAAACCGTGTCAAGAAAGAGGGCAAGTGTTATTGGTTAATGTGTGTATGCGTCTGCACTTCTCTGTCCATGTTGTGTCTTGTTTACGGAATTTAGGGTCTTAGGTGTGATAATGTTCAAGATAATGCTGAGTGATGCTTTAAACTTGATGGCATTCTTTGCTGTTGCATTGACAATAATTTTATTATGCATGAAGTACATAAAAGACTAATATATATACGTATATATATATCCTTCCACCAACATACAATACTTGCCATTCTTCACACTTCTAATACGGGAGGAGATTTAAGGACTTTTTGGTGGGTAAATATGAGTGACTTCAGTTAAACTTGTATCCAGAGTATGAGTAAAGGGGATCAGAAAATAATAAAATTAAAGTTAAAAGTAGATCCTTGACACTGGACTTTGTTTACATGAAAATGTACACTGAGGAATTAAAACTTGTTCCAACACAAATACTGTTCAGTGATCAGTAGTGTTGTGACTGAGATTAAATGATTCAGTGCATGTTGAAAAAATGAAAGGCTGGGAAGAAAAACACTAATACAAGGAGACTCAGCCATTGACAAGTGGAGTAAATTATCAGTGCAGGGGGAGCTGTCACTGATAGGTATCTGTTGCTGTGACAAATTTAGAATGTGAGTGGTGTCTGTAGGTCAGATAGTTTTTGCATTGCATATATTAGTAGGTTTTTTCAGTGATTGAATACACTGCTGTAGTGCACATAGCTTACTTAACCAAACCAGGTGGAAAATGCACAGGGAAGGATGACAAAGTTGATCCCATGTATCAGAAATCAGTCCTACAAGGATAGACTGAGGGCACTGAATCTGCATTCTAGAAAGGCACAGAACTGGAAATGATTGAGATGTATAAATGGAACACAGGAATAAATAAAGGGGATGTAAATAATGTGCTAAAAATATCCAGCCAAGATGAGACTGCAGCAATGGGTTTAAGTTGGAAATATTTAGATTTAGAAAGGGTATAGGTAAGCATTAGTTTGTTAATAGAGTTGTGGATGAGCGGAACAAAATCCTCAGTAGTGTCATTGAAGCTAAAACCTTGTGTAGCTTTAAAAATAAGTTAGACAAATACATGGATGGGTGTGAGTTAGACCTGCCTAGCTTGGGCCAGTAGGTCTGCAGCAGTGCTCCTTCCTTCTCAAGCAGGTGTGACTTAGACTTGCCTAGCATGAGCCAATAGGCCTGCTGCAGTGCTCCTTTCTTATGTTAAATGTGGTCAAACAAATATGTACATATAAGGAATTGAGATTTATGAGCTCTGAATTATTTTGAATACGTCGTGATAAATATTTATTTAATATGGCAAGAATTTTTTAACGATTGCAAAAGATGATAGTGTTGGCAATATTTTACATTTAAAATGCTGATTAACCAAAGAATTCTAGTGCTTTTTAAAGCTTACAAGTACAAATTGCTAGCTCTTCCTTTTGGCTATAAAATTTGCTCAGTATTAAAATTGGATGCAGTTGGGAGCTTGGCATGGTTTAAACAGCTTGCAAAATGGAAATTACCCCTATAATACTTTTTTCCTCTCACTGTGAATTAAAGTGGATGAGCGTGTGAGCAATATTCATCATAAACTGGGAGATATGTCTTATCGTTTTGTAGATATTGCAAATTTTGTAAATGTCGTGCTTTTTAGGCAGATCTTGCAACTTTGGCTTATGAAGCAACTGTCGTTTGGCAAATAAGCCGTGTATAAACTTGTTGCAACAACAACATCGTTAATATATTTCACTGATATTACGTACTTGTTATTAACTAAATATAGGCTGACCTAAGATAGGTTCCATAGGATTAGGTTAAATTGTATCATGCTGGTTTTAGCAAGGTTAAGTTAGGCTGCTAATTTTAGCAACCAAGGTAGGTTACTAACTTAGGTTTGGTGAAAAATTTAAAAAAAAGTGCAAAAATATGTTTATTAATGCAAAAGGGAAAATTTTTTTGAGGGGAGTTCAGCTTGTGTGACTAGCTGCTTAAAAAAGCACGACATATATTTAACAAAAGAAAGTGAAAAATCTTAATTTCTCTAATGGATGTAATACTCACTAATTAGGTTGGATAATTATTGCATTGTGAGACTGGAGTCTTCTTTATACTTTAAGGACGCGGCTTGAGCCGTGCTGTTGCCGCAGATGGACGCAGTCGTAGTCAATCTCACCGTCCAATGTTTAACGTGACGCGTGTGCCGGGCTTTGCTCTGAAGCGTGATGGAGTAAATCAGCATATTACCTCAGATACAGGTACTGTCCAGAGGTGATTCTTATGGTAGTTTTTTATAACTAGCTTGTTTAATTACAGGATTGCTTATTAATTTAATATAAATCTGTCTAAGAGAATTGATCGTCCATTTACAAAATTAGGATGTTTAAATTCTTATCTTTCATATTGCTCTTATTTGGTAAAAGAAGAAAAGAAAGGAGGAAATTAAATTTTAAGAAATATTATAAATACCATATTAAAAAAATTGCATCATTCTTAGGAGTATTTATTTACTTGTGAAAGGTCTTCGATCCTTTTAACAATATGACAGTAGGTTGGTAGACAACAACCATCCAGGGAGGTACTACCATCTTGTCATACAAGTGTGAAATAAAGCCTGTCAAGGCTTTTGCACTCAGGGAGGATTGCTGGTCTTTTTTCTTTGTCTCTTTAACTTGTAAGATGGATAAATCTTAATAACTTCTACTTATATTTATGCACCTTACTTTCCTGCATTTTTTTATAGTTCAGTTCTGTAATATTTTCTTTCTAATTTAGGAGGTCTGATCTGAGATGTGGCTGTGAGGGTGATGATTCTCAGAATCATTAAAAGTATCTTTTTTTTTTTTTTCTCTTTACCTTATGTCAACTTTGTCTACTGGAAAGTAAAACAACAAAAAATATGAGATCACTAATTAACTCTACCACAGGCTATATCTTACATACTATCTATTATAAGTTAGTTGCCTAATACAACTAATCATATTCTCAAAATAGAAAATGAATTATTCTTATATTCACTCTCTATAACATTTTTCATTTAGGTTTATTCTATATTTTTACACAGAAGAGCATGGAAGCAGTTGTACAGGACGATCAGAATCCCAAAGTCCAAGTCACAGTGATCGTCCAGTTAGTAGACAGCCACAGACTAGTCAGGAGAGAGGCTCTCGATCTAGTTCTCGACCTCGGCCACGTAGTGAAGAAATACCACTGGAAGACATGATGGCATCTGGGGGTTTTCCTCAGGCCTCGCCATCTATGCCTAAGGTTCGTCTCTCTGCTACATCTCTTCGATAACTGGATATTTACTAGTAAGAATAATATGAGCCAGTATTTGATTTAATTATATAGAATTATTTAGAAAAAAGAAATACTGTATGTCATACTGGATAATGTGAATTGGTATCTTGCCTATGCCATATATTAGATCCACTAAAATTATATGCAGCATATACACTGAAATTCCTTTATTTGGATTTCAACTAACCAAAAATCACAGATAACTAATCAGCAGTGAGATTTAGATGCATACTTGGTTCTCCAAAAATTAGTCTAGTTACTGATGAAAAATCCTGATTAGTGTGGCCTTTAGGAAATGATCAAACACTATTCCTAAGTCTACAAAATTTTCTTAGCAATAAGTGAAGTATGCTTGAGTGCTTATACTGATGTTGATGATAACCTCACAAGTTTGTGGTATATATGGTACAGTGCTTTGTCACTTGTTGAGCAGGCTGTGCTTGGGAGTGGCTTTGACATACTGTACCTCTGACTGATTTTGGGAATTCTTCTATTCTAGCAGCCCTGTCTGAAGCTAGACTTCCCTGTTGACTGGGTGATCAACTAGGCTGTTGCTGCCAGTGGCCTGCAGGCCTACATACCAGTCACAACCTGGCTGATCTGGCACTTGTAGGGCAGATTGAGTGCCCAACAAAATCTTCCTTGTTTGTCTAGGCACCACATGAACTTCTTCATTTGTACTGGCTATTAAGGTTCAGCTGTGTTGCATGATTGATACATGTAATGCATAGGTTTATAAGTGTTAAATACAGAGATGACAGTTTTTTTACATTACCATGAAGAATGTGCTGTATAAACAAATTGTAAATATTCTGATACCTGGAGGGTATTCTGAGGGTCAGTGCCCCCCGCAGCTCGGTCCATGACCAGACCTCACAGTGGATCAGGACCTGATCGACCAGGCTGTTACTGTTGGCCACATGCAAACCAACATATGAACCATAGCCCAGCTGGTCAGGTATTGACTTCAGGCATCAGTCCAGCTCCCTCTTGAAGACAGCCAGGGATCTATTGGTAATCCCCCTTATGTATGCTAGGAGGCAGTTAAACAGTCATTAAAAAGACAGTAGAACCTGGGACAAAGCAGCTAGAAGATACACTAGTAGGCACTAGAGAAAGAGTATAATTTTAGTAATTTGTAACATTAAAATTTTTTAGTATACAGCATGAAAGCTTTCAACATAATGTTTATCTCTGACACTATTATGAGTGAAAAACATGTTAAAAGAGAAATAAAGGTTGAACTTCAATTCTTTTATCATATTTTGAGGTCATAGAGACCTTGAAGAGGTTTTCATTTGTGGCCAGAAGGTTAATATGTCCAGAGCACTTTGAGGCCTAGTAATGCAAATAAAGGAGTTTCAGTGTACAAACAAGTGTGTATATACTGCACATACATATATATGTATATATGCAATGTGTATATGTATATAAATAAAAATGTGATATATGCTTGACATGCATTGTGGAGCATCAAAGAAAATGGTCAGCCAAATAATGGAACTTTGTACTATATTGTTCTAGAAGGAATAAATATTTACTCCAAACTAATCGGGCACTTCATTATGAATATACAATGCTGTATATACAGTACTGTCTGTATAGTACTGTCTATACAATACTGTTTATATAGTACAGTATATATATAGTAGTGTATAAAGAGTACAGTACACATATATACAGTACAATATTTACTGTACATTATGTACAGATATTTTTAAGTGTTGAAGTAGGTGTTAATATTCTTATATCAATGTTGGAGAACTAGATTTTTGAAGACTATTACACTGACTAAAGCTAAAGTAATTAAATCATGTAATATAAATTGAAATGGTGCATTTACTGTATGAAAAATTACCTTCAGTTAGGTTGTAAAATTATATATTTGTTTTTTTGTGTGTGAAGCCTTTGAAATGCAGAATATTAACCCATTTGCCTCACAAGTTCAAATACTAGAAATAAGTGTCTTATATGTATCAGAATATTACATTTATATACATATGAAATACATGTTTGTGTGTGTGGTATGTATATGTGATATGTTTTTGACTTTGTTTTCACAATGCAGTACAGTATTTCCCTTCGTCAGTAGTCTGTAAAACAGTCTTGTCTATACTCAAGGGTAATATGTACAGAACATGCTTGCACAATCTCTACACCTTCCTTAGAGTCCTCGACCAAGATGACTCTTGAAATTCTTAAACAGAAATGTCTCTACTTCATTCCTGAAAATCTTCAGCTCTCCTTTTATCTTCCACAGTATCTCTTCAGAACTTTATATAAACATTCTTTCTGTTCATTCTTCACATGACAGCTCTTATTTTATCTTGCTAACTGATCCCTTTAAAATACTGCAACTTCCCCAGATTTTATGATTGTCTTCCAATTTTACTTTTGTTTTAATCTTGAAAGTTTTAGACATGTATGTATGATACTCACATAAGAGCAGTGATTAATTATGACATTATACCCATTTTATGTAATCATGGTTGTTAATGTGTGTGTGTGGAGGGGGGTATAATGCAAGTGATAAAATGTGTCAAGTTGATAGTATTAGTGTGTGTATGTGAGAAAGCATTGAAAGAATGGTGTGAACTGAGCTCATGCACTAGCCAAACTAGCTAAAGATTCAAACAGAAATTAATATACTGATATAAGTGTGCATGAGTGTGTTAGATAGGAGTGAATGGAGACGAATGGTTTTGGGGACTGACGAGCTGTTGGAGTGTGAGCAGGATAATATTTTGTGAAGGCATTCAGGGAAACCGGGTAGCTGGACTTGAGTCCTGGAAATGGGAGGTACAATGTCTGCACTTTAAAGGAGGGGTTTGGGATATTGGCAGTTTGGAGGGACATCTAAACTGTCGTATCTGAGCACCTCTGCAAAGACAGTTATTACGTATGAGTGATGGTGAAAATGTTGAATGATGACGAAAGTATTTTCTTTCTTTTTGGGGTTTTCTTTCTTTTTGGGTCACTCTGCCTCAGTGGGAAATGGGCAACATGTTAAAAAAACAAAGCAAATCAGAGAAGAAACTTTGAAGAATGAATAGTAGGTAGAGTTGTGTGAGATTTCCAGTTGAAGTTTGTAAAGCACAAAGGAAATTTGAAAGACAATTATTATTATAATCACAGGGAGCGCTAAACCCATAGGGTATAGTGTGGGGGGGGGGAGGATGGAAGGTATTCAGGCTCAGTTCAGGGAACCGGAGCACAGATCCAATTCCCTAGATCAAGAACCCCTCACCAGCATCAATGAACCTCCCCTTGAAAGACAAAATGCAAGAAAATCGAAGATGGGACCAGAATTACAGAGTCAGTGGTTCCAGAGTGTATTTACCTTCCACTACCTTGGATTAAATTTGATTACCTTACATTCCCCAGACTTTGTTGATCCTTCAGGTTTCAGCATTTTTGTTAATATAATACAGAAGCAACTTTAAACCAAGTAAACTTGAACTCAGTTGTAAAGTCCACTTAAATAAGAAACTACTGTTGAAGATTGGCACAGTGCAAGGAACAGGACCAGGAACAGGCAAGATTTTCTGGGTTGTAAAATAATGTGCAGGGCTAAGCAACTCACTCTGGAATGTTGTTTGGAGGTTAAATTTAACTGTGCTTTTCTGGAAAGGCAGCTAGAGAATGAGTGAAGATATAAAAGTGGCATCAGTAAAAGGTGTGCTTGCATGGTATTACATAAAAGATGCGAGAAAATAGATAAAGAAGACTTCTAGGCACTATCAACAGAGAGAACAAAGAGGCAACAATTGTCAACTTAAGAAAATGGTCCCAAGAGAATCCTGTATTATACAACATTTCATTATGAATACCAGTAGTGACAGGATGATGAAATGGGATTCAAGAGTAGGTACAGTAGTACTGTATGTCACAACCACTTGAAACTTTAAACAGAATATGTGAAATACTAAACATTGAAACCTGAGCATCATGAGTAGAGCATTGCTCTTGTAACCACAAATAGGTAAACACACTTGCAGCAGAATGTATCATACATATTCCCTCAGTTGTTGACATACATCAGCAGTGTTGCATAATACTAGGCTGATACCTTTCATATGCAGTACTGTAATGTAGGAAGTTCTTAATATTTCTATTGCTAAACATTAGGAAGCAATTGCATGGGAATTTATAGAAATAATAATGTGCAGTTATACAGGTCAGCCATCACTAATTTCGGCTTGCATAATTTCAAATTTCATCATTATACTGACTCAGAAATTGTGCAGATGGTTGTAAATCCACATCAGCAAGCCAGTGGAGGAGAAAGCAGTGATGAAAATAAGGAAGATGTAGCAGAAAGAGTCTCTATTGATAGGTTAATTAAGCGTATTCTAACTTAACCATTCTGTAATCCGGCAAACTCACTGATCTGGCACACTACAGGTCCCAGTGATACCGGATTAGTGATGGCCGACCTGTATAAGATTTTATAAATATGTAATTAATTAAGCATGTTTAATTGGCTGTGTTTGTGAGCTCTATACTTATTTTATGAAATTACCTTTCAATGCATTAAACAGTAAATGCAACTGTTGTTACACTACTAATTTGAGCACAAATTATAGGATCTTTGAAAATACCAATAATGAGTATTTTAATCTTCTTTAATAGTTCTGTAACATAATTTGCAATGAAATTTGATTGCAAACTAGAATTGTTAGGTTTGTGCCTTTCTGAAAAAAACAGCTGAGGAATGAGTGATGGTGAATGTGTTTTCCTTGTTTGGGTCATCCTACCTTGGTGGGATATGGCCATTGTGTTAAAAAGAACTGGTTTTCTCATAAAATAAATCTGCAGGAGACTAAATATCTAATTAGGTCTATTAGTTTAAAATTGTATTCACTAATACTGATAATGATGTATCTTGATCTATCGGGTAGGTGAACGTAGAGAGTACTAGCTCCCCACGGGGCAGTAACAGTAGTAGCTCTTCTAGCACTGAAGGAGAGACCACTGCTCTAGAAAGATCAATTTCTGCAAACCTAGAGTTACCTGGAAGGCCCAGCACGACAAGTCCTGGAACAGATGAGAGAATGTGGCCATGTGCATCACTTGTGGGGAATCCCGAGCTGTCTCCTGGACCCACTCGTCTCTTACCACCTCTTAGTCATATTCCCTCTCCGCTCCTCCTGACAGCTACTGATTCTAATTCACTACCCATGGAAAATGATAAGCACAGTTTTATGACAACTCCACATACAAACTTTACACCTCAGATGGACGAGACTGAAACGTCTTTTACTGCCAAACCTCCGCTCGCCAGAACTACTAATGGTTATGATGTTTATGAACCACATACAAATGGAAGTGTTAATGTTGGTAGCAGGAAACATGATAGCCCAAGAAACAGTGTTGGTTCGGCTGATTTTAGCCCAATACGTAGAAGTAGAATTAAAGGAAATGTAGAAACTGTGTGATATAAAAATTATAGTGATGTTTATAGTGTACAGTACTTAATGCCATTATATCATAATTTCTTTTTCTCTCTGATGCCTAATTTGTTATATTAGTGAATGATCAGAAAAAAGAAACAGGAAAGAAGTTTCATTCTATATATTTTTCAAAATTTGTTTGTGTAAAGTTTATTGTTGGATATTGAAGTTTGTTTAATATATAGTTTATGAAAAAAGGTAACATTATAAAATTCCCAGCAAATTTCTGAAGTGGCCCTTTCCAGGTCTCAAGTTCACTGAAAGTGCTTGAGATGCTTTAGGATGATACATAAAGCCAGATCTCTCAAGAAGAGATCTGTTCATTAAGGAGCATGGTGCTAATAGAGGTAGAGTGGGCATAAGTTTGCACATACAGGGGCTCCCACAACTTATGAATATCCAGGTTACTAAACATCCTCATTTATGAGCTAGATTCATTAGAAATAATATTGAAAAAATAGTCCTTTTATGCACTCCAACCCACAGTTACAGACATATAGTGCATGACCAAATTTTGTGTTGTTCTTTACAAGAAAATAGGTTCCAGGTTACAAACATCATGTCCATAAGTTGGAATTCTAGAAATGCGACTCTTTCTTTAGTTGGGGACTCCCTGTAAACTTTATCTTAGTTAATTGGCTTTTAAAAGGAAAGAATATTTTTTCATACAACTGAAATTAAGCTAATTATGATATACACAATAATACATTAGTGTATAAGATTCTTTAACAATTAAAATTAAAACAAGGTACTTTATGTTATGTGAAAATTTTTTCATGGTGTCCTTATATTTTTTTAATTTGTAAAGGACAAATTGATTTAATGATGTTATTTAATATACAAATTAAAATATTAGTGATGTATTTACAAGTGATTTAAATATAATTATTTATAGAACATATACGTATAATGAAATTTAAACCATAGTCAAAAAGTCAATTTCTTGAGTCATTTTGTCAGACTATTGGTAAAATTTGTTGCCACAAGCACTTACATGAGACAGTGATCAGAATTAACATAATAAAGTTATCTACAGTGCAGCTTGTGATGTTCACTAATATGTGATATTTAAAGCTATGTTAGGATCATATGTATATTAACTTAGTTATTATGTAGTGCTCTTTATGTTGTATGGAAAAGAGTAAATATGATTTTCTGTTGAATTTTCAAGAAAGATACTTAAAAAGCATTTTGTGAATTAGTTTTGTCCTATTGTATGCTACTTGATGATGGTAAAACTTAATTTAGTTGCCATAATGAGCAAGGGTTTTCCTAATAAACGCTGATGAATTACAGTACATAACATAGTTGGCATTTCCAAGTATGTATATTACTCGATGACGGTGTCCACTGCTAATTGCAAAATACCTTGTGGGCAGGTATATATTGTCTTGAAGTATTGATATATTTACATGCAAGGCAATGCACAATCATCTGCCTATGCTTTTTAAGTAGAGGTTATAATGTAGATCTCATGCACATAGAAAGCTACGGGCCACCTGCAATTACTTTTTCTATATGAAAATCAGTAGGTTATTACAAATTTGTAGCAGTGCTAAATGACCTAGTTGTGTTTGTTTTGGAAAGACAGCTAAGGAGTGAGTAATGGTGACTGTCTTACCTTCTTTGAATCAACTCTTCCTTATTGGAAAATGACTACCTATATGTACTATATTAGCTGCTAGTACTTCCATCTATGGGTGAAATTAAAATTATACAGCATAATTTTCACATTATTACCATGGGAAAATGTTAAGACTGTTAATAATAAGTAATTAGTAAAGTTTAAGTATAATTTAGAGGATAGTAGTGCATCCTGTAAAGTTTTTCTGAAGGTGAAAATTCTGGAATATATTCTTTGTATTTTGAATAATTTGCAAAGAATTTTCTGTTTTTTTTTTTTTTTTGCCTCAATGACCATCTCCCACCAAGACAGGGTGACCCAAAGAAAACATTAAATTATTCATCCAATTTCTGTCTTGCCAGAAGTGTGCTGACACCCACAATCCAGATTATCCACCCATATGCTTTATTATAGTCATGGGAAATCCTAAACCTGCACAATTATACAGCACCTGTGGGTGGGGGGGAATAGAAGGTATTCAGGCTTAATTTCCTCTTCAAGGGGGGCTCCTTGGTGTGGTGAAGAGGCTCTTGGTCTGAGGAATTAGACCTGTTGGTCTTCTTCCTCAGACCGAACCTAATTACCCCCCAATCTCCCTTCCCCTATCCCATCCTCCCCTTTTTCCTTTCCTCCTCCTCCTCCCCACCCCTCCCTTTTGCCCTTCCTCTTTTTGGCCTTTGGGGTTTTTTCCCACAGGCGCGCTAGTTCCTAGGTAGGGGAAAGGGTACCGGGGTCCATCCCATTCCGTTGGGGTTCTTGGCGGTGGCGTAGTTTGCCGTGGAATCTGGATCGCCTGGGGATGTCCTGATCCCTCTCCGGTATCCCGGAGAGTGGCTTTGGGTGTCTTTCAGGCGACGGGTGTATCTCTGGAAGCCACCTTTCGGATTCCGGGGGTGGTGGCCGAAGGAGGTATATTTTGTGGCAGATATCCGGCCGCCCTCTCTTTTGTCCACCGAGGTAGCTCGGCAGATGTGAGGTTGCTATCCCGGATTGCTGGTTTACTGGCGTGAAGGGTAGGGTATGGCACGGGTTCCTTGCTGCATCTGCGCTACTAGTGGTGCTGAGGTCCTCTTGGGCGCGGAGGGAGATTTCCGGCCCTTTCATTCCTCCTGGGAATTATTCCTCCCTGCTCCCCCCTTTTTTTTATTCTTTTTATTTTCTTTTCTTCTTTCTTTTTTTTTTCTTAAAAACAAAAAGCAAAGGAGTAACCTAACCATGGAGAACCCAATCCATGAACCCACTACCCCCGGGCCCCTTCTTGATACCGCACCCCATTCTGACCGTGCCTTGTTTTTTGACCACTCTTCGGACACTCCTGATGCCCCTGTACCTCTTGCTGGTGCTGTTTCACAACGGACCAACTCCGCCCCTCTACTTCTCAGAAGTCCAAAAAAAACCCCAGTGCTCAAATCTTCGTTGCCCCTTCCTTCCCTTCTTCCACCTCCGCACTTTACCTTTCCAGTCTCTGTACCTAGTTCTTCCCCTCTATCTGGCTCTCTTACAAGTGTGGAGGTTCACCCTCCTCCTCGTACTATGCCTTCCACCCCCGTCCCCTCCCAAGTTTCTCCCTCTTCTGCCACCTCCCAGGTTTCTGCCTCTTTTGTCCCCTCCCACGCTTCTTCTCCAGTCCTCTACACTCTTTCGTCCCCCCCCTACTTTGGTACAGTCCATTACTGTCCCAATCTTTACTCACTCTCCTCCTTCTACCTCCAATATTGTCTCCCATACATCTTTGAATTCAGAAACACTTGAAGCCATTTCAGAATATATTGCAGAGACTAAACCTTCAATGGACACTGATTCACTTCCTGTTCCTTCTCTTCCCTCTCCTCCATCTCCACAACCCACTCTTCGCAACGCTCCGTTCCTTCGCTATTTAAAACGCCTTCCAATGCCACCACACGTTGACTTTTCAACCCCTCTATCCGTAGGTGCCCTTCCCTACGGATTCCTGGTATTTTTTTCATTCCCAAATTTCATGGCCTATTTACAGTGGAATACCCCCCGCCTCGGGTAACCCGGGGTGAGTTTCCCAAATGTTGCTTTCCAGTTTTCCCCTGTTGGTGCTTGCTTACAAGAACCAAAATTACACTCAGCTGTTTTCCAACCTCTCTCAGGCTATAATTTATTGTATTCTTCGGATCCTTTCTCAGATGGGACCTTTAATGAGAGTGCTCTTCTTCTACACAATGATATTCCGTACTGTCAGCTATTTGTCCATACCTCGCTGCATTACACTGCAGCCCGTATCCACTTGAATATGTGGTATACAGTATGTTCTTTATATCTCTCTCCTTCTCAAGCATTTTCTATCCCAGATTTTGCTTTTCTAGTTTCATCCTTACCACTGCCACTTCTGTTACTTGGTGATTTCAACACCCACCATTTCCTCTGGGGAGGGGGTCACATTGTGACTCACATGGCATCCAGTTGGAGGCTTTTCTCGCCTCTCACCCCCTCCATGTTTTAAATACGGGTACTCCCACCCATTTTGATCCTCGTACTCGTACTCTCTCTTGCATCGATCTATCAGTCTGCTCTTCCTCCACTGCACTAGACTTCACCTGGTCTGTTCTACCGGACTTACATGACAGCGATCATTTTCCTATCATTCTTACTTCACCTTCCTATTCACCACCTTTCCATAGCCCTCGCTGGCAATTTGATTGGGGCAAATTGGGACCTTTACTCGAAACTCACTGCTTTTAGTGACGTTCCTTCTTCATCCTCCATTGATGAGCTCCTACACCTCTTCTCGACGTCAGTTTATGCCGCAGCTTCTCATTCTATACCCCAAACCTCAGGCAGGCGTTCTCAGAAGTGCGTGCCTTGGTGGTCTCCTGCTTGTGCTCGTGCAGTACGTTTGAAACGCGCTGCATGGGGCAGGTACCGGTACAGTAGAACCGATGAGAGACTTCTTGATTTTAAGCAGAAGCGTGCGATCGCTTGCTGTGTCATCTGTGACGCTAAACGCACTTGCTGGCGAGACTATGTTTCCACCATCACCTCTGCTTCCTCTGAGTGCAGTCTGGAAAAAAGTGAGGAAATTGAGTGGTAAATACTCTCCTGACCCGGCTCCTGTTCTACGGGTCGCTGGTGTTGATGTAGCAAACCCTCTTGACGTTGCCATTGAAATTGGCACTCATCTGGTCCGTATTTCCCGGGGGCTCCATCTATGCCCCTCGTTTCTTTCCTCAAAGTCTGCCAGAGAGTTAGTACCCTTGGACTTTTCTTCTCTCAAAGAAGAACAGTATAATGTACCTTTTACACTTCAGGAACTGGAGGCAACGCTCTCGGCTTGCCGATCATTGGCAGCTGGGCCTGACGACATTCATATTCGTATGTTACAACATTTACATCGGTCAGCCCTTGTAGTCCTCTTACACCTCTTCAATCTTATTTGGGCACAAGGAGCTCTTCCCCAGTTGTGGAAATCTGCCATTGTTCTCCCTTTCCGCAAGCCGGGTACTACAGGACATGATGCCTCCCACTATCGTCCCATCGCTCTTACTAGTACAGTTTGCAAAGTGATGGAACGTCTGGTAAATCGACATTTAATGTGGTATTTAGAGACACACAACAGTCTCTCCGCTAGTCAATATGGCGTTCGTAAGGGCCATTCTACCATAGACCCCTTACTACGCTTGGATACGTATGTTCGTAATGCCTTTGCGAATAATCACTCAGTTATTGCCATATTTTTTGACCTTGAGAAGGCATATGACACAACTTGGAGGTATAATATTTTGGCCCAAGCCCACTCCATAGGCCTCCGAGGCAATCTCCCATCCTTCCTTAAGACCTTTTTAACTGACAGACATTTCCGTGTTCGAGTCAATAATGTGCTTTCCCCGGACTTCATCCAAGCTGAAGGAGTCCATCAGGGATGTGTTCTGAGCACAATGCTTTTTCTCCTTGCTATAAATGATTTGGCCTCTGTTCTTCCACCCAATATTTGGTCATCACTCTATGTTGATGACTTCGCTATTGCTTGTGCAGGCGCTGACTGTCATCTTATTGCCGTTTCTCTCCAGCATGCAGGTCGACCGTGTTTTCACTTGGGCCACCACGCATGGGTTTAAATTTTCCAGTACCAAAACTCACCAGATTACCTTCACTAGACGCTCTGTCCTCTCCGATCATCCTTTGTATCTCTATGGCTCCTGTATCCCCGAACGTGATAGTCAGGTTTCTAGGCCTTCTCTTTGACCGTCGGTTATCCTGGAAACCTCACATTACCTCTCTGAAGGCAACTTGTCACAGCCGGCTAAACCTTAAAACCCTTGCTCATCTTTCCTGGGGAGCTGATCGTCAAACTCTGCTTCGCCTACATTCAGCCCTCGTTTTATCGAAACTCGATTATGGTGACCAGATTTATTCAGCGGCCTCTCCTGCTACTCTCTCTAGCCTTAACCCATCCATCACCAAGGATTACGTTTGTGCCTTGGTGCTTTTCGCTCTTCCCCTGTTGAGAGCCTCTATACAGAAGCAAATGTTCCATCCTTGTCTGATCGCCGTGATGCCCATTGCCTTCGCTTTCTATGTAGCTCTCACGATCTCCACAATCCTTCCATTTATAGAATGGTCACGATATTAGTAGACATTCTTTATTCGTTCGCCGCCCTGTTTTTCTCCGTCCCTTTTCTCTTCGCCTACATTCGCTCTTGTCTTCCCTTCAGTTACCACCTTTATATGTTCATGTAGCATCTCACTTTTCCCTACCCCCCTGGGAAGTTCCAGCTGTTCGGGTCTGTTCTTCTCGAAAGCCCAACTGCCTACGGTGGCTTCCCCGCTCTCTTTTTCTTGATCACTTCCACTCTCATTCTCATGCCATCGCTGTGTACACAGATGGCTCTAAGTCTTCAGACGGCGTCGGATTCGCAGCAGTTTCCGGACAGCGTCGTACGGGGCATTTACTATCTTCAGCTAGCATTTTTACTGCTGAATTGTATGCCATTCTTGCAGCACTTATTCGTATCGCATCTATGCCTGTGTCATCATTTGTAGTAGTCTCAGACTCCCTTAGTGCTCTACAGGCTATACGAAATTTGATACATCTCATCCCCTAGTTCTCCGTATCCAACTTTGGCTACGCCTATCT